ATCGTAACGATTCCTACGATACAACTACTTCACCAATTCAAAATCGCTCAGCGAATTATATTTAGAACGAACTATGCATGAATTTTCTCTGAGGTATTGAATACGAAACCTAAAAATTCGCCAAGAAACTGAAAGTACTGACATGATGCAATGATATACATCTATTATAACAATAAATAATTCTTTAAACATCGAATCAAAAAAGCAAATTATTATGTAGGATATTGAGTAATGTTCATAAATAAGAAACTAGACTGCATTCATGCCTTGAAGGATATTTATATCCAGCAGCAGACTACAGTGAACTGCTGATGATAAAAATTAGAAATTAGTCCAAATGATTGTTATTTCAATCGGTTCTTGTGACATTATTCTGGGAAAGTTACTTAAAATTCAACAACAAATAACTAAATACCAGAAATTTCTGAGTGTTGGTGGTCAATCCTGATTGCAATTTGAGGTATATATGGACCACAGAACGACCACCTATCGATGCGTTTTTCATTCTATAACTCTACGGTGGCCTGAAATAAAAACATTGATCTTTGACGCAGGAATTACAAAGAACAATCTTGTACTCGTCTACTAGTAAGAACTTGAAAAATTCGATTACTCAGATGCTTACGAAGGCTCTTTGATCAGACCTTCAAAACAACCAATTTACTATAAGATTTCGATATATTTTAATATTATTTTCATATCTTCTAAAGTTTTAATATAGTATTATATATCCATGAGTATATATCGGACATTATCAAATTATAACTACCAGATTATTACAGTATTATTATAGGACAAATAAATTTGATTTTTTACAATATATTTCACCGTTCATGTTGACCAAAGACTATTAAGATACGATAGGATATTATTAATGTAGTTCTAATATAAATTTACAAACATGTTTAATCAATCACGCTAAAACAAACGGAATTTAACTTCTGTTACACTTATCTGTCATGTGATCCCGGCATAGAATGTGCCACTCTTTCCTTTTCCATGGATGACGTAAAAGCCGACTAAGGGAATGTTATGTTCGAGGGATGGGCAGCAGCGTCGCTCTATAATCGTCGATCTAAAATATTATTAAAAACCTGAGTGCAGTTGTCAATCCGCATGCCATATAACATGACAGACTACTGGAACAATCCCCCACCCCTTTTTAGGGGGAAGCCTATGTTCAGCAATCAAATTATCTACCATACCCAGACTTTTAATATTAATTCACGCGAGCAAAGCCGCATGTTACAGTTAGTGAAGTCATAAAAATGTATTGGCCATGTTGCGCAGGCAATTTGCACACGAGCGCTGCGCTGTCCTCAGCTTTATATCGTGTCACGTGTCATAACACTGATTAATTGGCCCTCATTGCACTGATATGGACAAAAAGAAAGAACGACAACGAGTAAGCAACGACCTTTCGATAACGAGGTGCCGTCACTCAACCCGCCAACCGTGGGCAACCGAACGCAACGTGTAGTGTTTCCAATTTTTATTATTTGAAATTGGATTTTATCAAGAAAAATGAATACTTTTAATTTAAAAGTACAGATTAAGTAATAGGTAAGTCCATGTTTAAAGTTGACCTTATACTGTGAATTTCTAAAAGTTTTGTACAATGAGGATGAAGGTCAGGATATATATCGATTTATCGACAGGTGAAAGGCAAACAATAATCAAGTCTTAATTAACATAGATTCATTAACAAAACAGTGCCATAAAGGTACATGTTACAGAAGTCAGCACATTGAGCCCAGGGAAAATAATTCTGTGGAACATTTGATTGGCAACTATGGTTCGTTACCAATTATGCATATAAGTTTCCAGAGAACAGTTTGTCTGAAACCAGAAGTCTACATGTATTTCAAATCGCGAGGCTAAAACCGTAAAACGAACAAGCTGTAGATTAAGGTAGGACAAAAGACCCCGATGGGTCGAAGTGTGACAAATTGAGATCTAACACCATATTTAGAGATAATACTAGGAAAAGACGATTGCTAAAGATAATAATACTAAAAAATATCATACATAATTTAATTATAATTATGTAAAAGAAGCTTATGGTTAAAAACTCCAAGAATTTAGAATTATGTCATTAAATTGCTCATTGAAAAGGTTTTATTACAATAATTCGTACATTAGATGTTGTGTGTAGTATGCTTAGATGTATCGGCCTTTTCATCACCTACCTATTCATAAAATTTGAATATATTTTGTTTATCATATAATTCAATATAATATTTGCAATTATGGACTTGATTTGTCTAATTATTTAAATAACTCTTGTTCTGTTTGCTAATCTATATTAAAATACATTTCGTTTCATGCCGTTTTTTCAGCTGAAATTATATTCCAAATGGAGAGCAGATTCATAAAAAAATTTAAAAAATCTATTCAAAATTAAATTATTGTCGCGTATTGTCTCATTAGAGTAGTGTAATCATTTAAAAAAACGTATACTCTTAAATTTATTATCTCATTATCGTATTTTCTAACTAAAAAAAAACACCTTTGAAACAAGTACTTTTTAGTAATTCATACAAGAATTTGTCGTTTACGCCTGTTCATACATATCTACCTATCTCTACTTTGGATGTCTCAGTAAAACTAAAAGATTGGCAATAACAGTCGTTCTGTGTCTAGCGTAGGACATCAATTTATATTCCACCCGACACGTCGTCTTCCCCAGTTTGAATGATAGGTAATAAAATCACAATGCCGATCGTTTTCAAACTTATTATCGACTGTTTTTACGTAGACTTTTAGGTCTCCTGTCTCAAATGATATAAAAAATATTATTTATTACCTAGATTTAAAAAACTAGTAGCTGATGGATGACAAAAAATCTCTATTACTATTAAGTAACTTGGTTGTGTAATTAAGAGTCAGATATTATTGTGCCATTCATCAATCATTAAAAAACGCCTAACCATTTTTTTATATTTTTATTACTAAAAAAATGGCATTTGAATTTTTATCTAGTCTAATCTAATTTTTATCTATCTATTCAATTCGACATAGTAATTTTGCTGTCAAGTTACTTATTTCTTTAACTTACATCCAATCTCAAAATCTTTTAACTAGAAAAGCCCTCTTCGTAAAATATATTTCAACAACAAAATTACAATTATTACTTATATACTTACAATGGACGGATAACATAATCTTAAAGCCTAGTACCAGTATTGTATATATAATTCGAAAACAATGCCTAAATCTTGATGCACTATTTATATAATCAATCACTTTAGTTAGAAATACATTGTCTTTATATGAATTTTGTTGACCTTTATGTTTTTAATCAAATTAAGAATTAAAGTTATAAATTTATTTGCCTATAAACAAGGTGAAACTCTTTGCGCTGTGTTCCACAAGTATTCTTTGTAGGCAGTCCTCTACCTGGGTGGCTCAACAGATGCTACGTGAATTAATAAAAATCACTTTTCGATTACACTTGGTCGTTAGAGACCGATATCGATGCGTGTTCACGTCATCTCATGAATTTTAATGACGAGAAAACATGCGATTTGCAATAACTACAGAGAATTGATTATAAATACTTTATTATCTCATCTTGCTCATCACAGAAATAACGCGCACATGACATTTTTTTCGGTGTTACATCCGTTCCTGGACTGTAGTAACGTCAATAATTTCATTTCATCTACCTACATATATATATATATATATATATATATATGTTCGCGACATTATTGTATATATAGTGATATTTATAACAATGTTATAGTTAGTTGTTAAGTTTCTAGTTTGATCGTTTTTTGTATTCTGTTGTTTTGTATAGATTTACATAGATTTAAGATAGTGTAAGTTAAATAAAGTATTCCTTTGTGTGTTGTCCTTATTACCTACGAATAGAAATAGAAATTGTAACGATAAATAGAATTAAGAGATTGTAAATTTCAATAAATAAATAGACGCTATAGAGTACCGATCTGAAGAGACACGCGTCTCGCTCATTTCTCGCCCCGTCCCGCTCGCGCAGATTCGCTAACGCGAGTTGGAAACGTTATCGTGCGAGCGGGCGGGTATAAAGATAGGCCGCCTCCCGTCGAGCGGCATTCGCTTCCGGGCAGCGACACACTACACTCGAGAAGAAATAGGACAAGAAGAAAAAATACTCTCTTCAGACGGTACCGGAGGCTTCAGAATACTAATCCCTGTGTTTCACTCCAGCCTGAACCAACGCCCCTACAGTCCACGCTCACTGTACGGCAGTCCATACAGTACAATATATATATTACGAATATTATTAATTAAAAAAAAATTAATTGCCATAAGATTATCATAATTCCATAGTTATTTCTAATTGAAATTTAATAAAATATAATATTGACCAGGAATATGTATTAGTTATTTATTTGTCAGAACAAGGTTTGTATGAAAGATAATGTCTAAAAAATCGTACGGAAAGTTAAAAAAAATGGGGTATACAATCTCTATATAAAAATGTGTGTGAGTGGTTCAGGATCGGCCAGCAGTCGAAGCGACAAGAAGGGAAAGTTTGGCAGCAGCTTGGCAGCACCGAAGATACATCGCAGCAGCATCACCGCTTCGGCACCGCTACAACACCTGCGTGTGCGCCACCGCAGAAACTCGACCGAGCAGCACCGCGGCAGCGCCATCGTACTAGCAACGCGGCTACACCATCTTGTGCACCACCGTACCAGCTCCACTGCGTGCACCGCCGCACTAGCACCATCGAAGCGGTAACTTCGAGTGTGCCCCGCCATCGCCTCAACGTCGCACCGCACGGATCCAGCAGACTCACCGTAGCCAGCGCCAAGGAGAGAAGACGTTGTCTGGTGCGTTTGTTGTTGCAAACGTACCAGGCAACGAACCGGCCGTCATCGGAGCGGACAGTTTTTGACAAGATTGAAGTCCATCCGGGGATAGGCTTCCCCAGAATGAAAGGATCGCGGACGACTGCTTGAGAGGACGACCTGTGAAGCAGAAGGAAGGGAATCCGAAGGATTCGGAGAATGCCGAGCCCGGCCAGGCGGCCGGACGAAAAAGGCCCTTATCAGGGCCACAGTGTACCAGTGCACAGTGTACCATCATCGCAGGGGGGGGGACCTACCATCGCTGCTCCCCTCCCCGCGCGCGCCCGTGCGCAGCGCCCGCGATCAGCGATCTCCCCCCCGCGGGGGAGAGAGCGCTCCCGCTCGCGCGCCGCGCATCGCACCATAGAGACGCCGGGCGTCTCCCGCGCCGAACCAGCCGCGCCGATCCGCGGCCACGCGAGTGCCACCACCTCTCGCGCCGGTTTGGGCGACGCCGATGCCCAGCGCGCCCCGCAGGCCGCGCCCGCCGCGAACCGCACGATAGCCGTCCCCCACCCTCTCGCCGCCGAAACCGCCGCACACAGTGCCGCCGCCGCCCACACCGACACCGACGCCGTACCCATGTGCAGGGTACAACAAAGGACAACAGCAAGACCCGGAAGCGCTGCCGATGTCCCGATGTCTCCAGCATCACCACCGGACACCGACACCACCACCACCGCTCCGAGAAAGGGTGCAGGCGATTTGCCCGCCACTGGGCGGCTTCTACCTCCGTCCGGAGCCGCAGGCCCCTCCGTAATTTCGGGCGGGGGTCCGCGCGTCGGTTTGTCACCGAGATCAACATTAGAGTGCGACTCGTTGATCTTGGGACAAGTGCTGGCGACGGACCTTTTGTCCCAGGGGATGAAGGAGAGGATTGCGGCTCTGGTCGGGGACGAGGCGGCCCGGTTGGAGGGCCAGCCGACGCCACCCGTGGAAGAGATGGAGCTGGCACGAGACATGGGCAGATCGTTCATGATCTCGTCCACTAGACCGGTCAGGCGACCCCGAAGCCCAGAGACCGAGGAGGAGGGGTACAAGCGCCCCTGTCAAGAGCCCTCCCCACCGCTACAGCCCACCCCCCTCGCACAGAGGGACCCAAGACTGAGACCGAGGGACACGCAGTTTGCCGGTCCAAGAGAAAACGCTGTGCCAGCTCCCTCTTATGCAGAGGCAGCCAGAGCGCCTACTCCACCGCCTGGGACATCGGCAGGGACGCCCAGGAATCCAGGAGCGCTGTCGCAAGCTACCGCAGCGCCCCCTCCCCCGCGAGGCGAAGAAACAGAGAGTCCCGCCGCTCATAGTGGAACATCTGCCGGATTGGGTGCGTCACTTTCGCACTCTGAAGGGCAGACTGAACTACGCCCCTAACGCGCGCCCCTACGGAAAAGGGGTGCGCTTTACGCCCAAGTCGGAGGAAGAGTACCGCGTAATACAGCGGTACCTCTCCGACTTAGAAAAAGAAGAACACATCAGCTGGTTCTCCTACCAGCTGCCGGCGGAAAAGAGTGTGAAGGTGGCCATCCGCGGAATACCAGCGGACACACCCGTCGAGGAAATAACTGAAGCCCTGGCGGAGCTTGGACATTGTCCAGAATATGTCCGCCAGATAAAAGCCCGCCAGGGCCGCCCGGGGTGCATTTTCTACGCACAACTGAAGCGCACCCCGGCGACCATCCCCGGCATCTATCAAACAACAGAACTGTTATGCATGCCGGGGATAAGAATCGAAGCCTGGAGAGGAAAAAAGGCCCGGCACAGTGCCATAGGTGCCAAAGCTTCCGGCACTCCTCGCACGGGTGCCACAGAAAACTTGCCTGCGTCCGCTGCGGCGAAGAGCACACGGCGCGCGACTGTCCGCGCCCCCGAGAAGAGCCTCCGACGTGTGCCAACTGTGGGGACAAGCACACGGCAAACAGCGTCTCCTGCCCGGTCTTCAAGAGGGAGATAAGAAACCGAAAGGCAGGAGCCACCGCCAGAACTCGCTCCAGATCAACGCACAAAGACCGCACAGTCCCCACAGCCGCGGACAGGGGCAACCTAATGGCCCCGGCCAATCCGGCAACAGAGCGGTCGCGGAAACCGCCTCAGAAGAGGAGAAAGAGGGGGAGGAAAAACAGAGGCAACAGCGACAAAAAGAAAAATGCTTCCGGGTCCGCGGAGCAGGCCCCCGCACGCAGCATCTACACCACACGCCCGCCAGCGGTCGCCGCCCTCGATGCTGACGCGACAACTGATGCAGCAACTGCAGCCCCAACAAAAACCGCCGCTGCCGTACCTACAACACAGGCAGCACAGACACAAGTCGCCAGCAAGGGGAAGATGGCGAAGCGTGCTAAAGAAACCAGCACCTCCACCACCACCACCACCACCACCACCAACACAAGCACGGCAGACATGGTGAAAACTATGCTCACCATCCTGATGGAGGTGCTACTTGCGGTGCAAGCCGGATCGGACCCAGTACCGGCGATCACCGCAGGAATGGCGAGGCTGTCCAACACTAAATGGGACTAAGATTGCTGCACTGGAACGCGGACGGGGTCCGCAAGAAGACAACCCTGCTCCGGACGCTGCTTATGGAGTACCGTGTCGACGTGTGTCTCATTTCTGAGACACTACTGGGAGCTCTCGACACACTCCGCATTCCAGGATACCATGCATACCGACAGGACGAGATTACGGACGGCCAGAAGGCATATCGCGGGTTGGCTGTCCTGGTGAAAAGGAACGTAGTGCATCAACCGCTCCCTCGGGTGAATCTCACATCCATGTACGCACTCGGTGTTGAGCTATGCGTAGATAGAAGCCCCATCCGTGTGTTTGCAGTATACAAACCACCACAGAACAGGATTGCAGCCGCAGACGTCGCCGTCATCTTCGATTCGCAGCTGCCCACTGTCGCCGCAGGCGATTGGAACTGCAAACACACGGCCTGGAACTCCAACAACGACACGCCAGAAGGAAAAGCACTACTAGGGATAGCTGAGAGAATGGATATCACCGTGCTCGGCCCTGAGGTTCCAACTCACTATCCCTACATTTCAGCACATGCTCCAGACGTATTGGACTTCGCCTTATACAAAGGACTAGACAGCCAACCGACGCAGGAAGTCCTCCTCGAGGACATCCAATCCGACCACCTGCCGGTGTGCATGGTTATTCCACAAACACCGACATTCCTGACGCCGCGCCTCCCACGCCGTCGGATCGACTGGGTGAAATTCAGGGACTCGATGGAGCACAACACGCCCATGATGGCAGTCTCAACCTCGAATGAAGTCGAAGAACTCGCTGCTAACCTGTCAGTCTCCATACAGCACGCCATGGACATCGCAGCGCAGCCGGGACCTGTAACAAGGACCCGCGAGTGGATCCCGGCTGCCACCAGGATGAAACTAGAAGCGAAGCGCCGATTGCGTAGGGACTGGCAGTCGACACGTTGCCCCACCCTCAAGACGAGGTTGAACAAACTCGCCGAAGACATCAGGCGAGACATTGAGTCCCACAGGAAGGAAAGCTGGGATCGATTATTGGAAGACGCCGGCGACGACTGGAATAGCATCCACCGCCTATGCCGCCGGCTGTCCCAATCCCAGCCCCCGGTCCGACCACTACTGGCGAGCGATGGGACGCCGAGATACCGTGCAGCAGACCGTGCGGAAATCCTAGCAGAACACCTAGAACGCCAGTTCCAGCCGAACCCGGTTACCGATACCGAACATGCTGCCATGGTAGTTAAATACGTTGAAAACTACCTGGCTCCGCCACTAGCGCCACACGAAGACCCGGTGGTGTTTACGCCGGGACAAGTGCAGCGTGAATTAAGAAAAACGAAGCCTCGGAAGGCCCCCGGCAGCGATAATATCACGAATACGGCATTGCACCACCTGCCGCCGCGCACTATAGCGGCAGTTACACGCCTGTACAATGGTATTATGCGCACAGGGCATTTCCCAAACACATGGAAGATAGGCAAAGTTATCACGCTGCCTAAGCCCGGTAAGAACGTATTGAAACCGGAATCGTACCGGCCAATCACGTTGTTACAGCATGTATCGAAGGTGTTTGAGAAACTACTTCTCAAACACATAAACACATACATCAAGCCCAGAGAAGAGCAATACGGGTTCAGAGCTGAGCACTCCACTACCCTGCAGCTGATCAGGATACTGCACGTGTTCACAACGGCCATCAACAAGAAGGAAGTCGCCGTAGCAGTATTCCTCGACATGGAGAAAGCCTTTGACAGGGTCTGGCACGACGGTCTGCTGTACAAGTTGGCCACCCAGACAGAAATGCCAAGAAGGCTCATCCAAGTGGTGGCCTCATTTCTCAGGAATCGTCGGTTCATGGTGGCGGTTGAACAAACCTGTTCGGGTGAGCGTCCCATCCGAGCGGGCGTCCCGCAAGGCAGCTGCTTATCGCCTGTGCTTTATGCGCAGTACACCGACGACATCCCAACCACGGAGCAGACTACACTGGCGCTCTACGCCGACGATGCAGCCTACGCCGCGACGTCGCTGAACAATAAGCACGCGGCGTCAAAACTACAAACTGTACTAGATGCCCTGCCAGAATGGCTGGGAAAATGGCGCCTGTCGGTGAACGTGCGCAAGACACAGGCGATCACAGCCAACATGAAAAGGACGCCACCACAGCTACGCCTGCTCGGTTCCCCGATCGAGTGGTCCCGCACCGCCACCTACTTAGGGGTGGAAATCGACCGCCGGTTGACTTTCGGAACGCACGTCAAGAAGGTTCGCCAGAAGGCTAGAACAGCCAGGCACCTGCTGCGTCCGGTACTCGTCGGAAACCTCCCTCTCCAGATGAAGACGGGAATTTATAAAACGTACATCCGCCCGCGTCTAACTTATGCCGCGCCGGCGTGGTACGCATTCGTCAGCAAGACAAACAGAAGAGCATTAGAAGCACAACAGCACCTGACGTTGCGTACCCTGACCGGTGCGCATAAGTTCGTCAGAAACGCCACCCTGGAGAGGGACCTCAAAATCCAGCCACTGGACGCACACGTGAAAGAACTAGCGACTAGACTGTTCCAGCGCGCGGACGCATCAAAATGGGACCACCTCAGAGGCATAGCGCCTCTGCACGCTAGACCGCCGGAGATGAAGCCATACGCGCGCGAACTCACCCGCTCGCGCGAAGCAGAAGAAGAAGGCACGGTCCCATAGTGTAGAAGCGCGTGGCGCCGTCGTCATGGGCCGCTCTTGCGCTGGCAGTTTGCCGGGCCTCCCCCATGGGGTCTCACCTGGCAGGCGAAGACCGCGCCGACCGGCCCAGACGGCGCCAACAGTCTACAAGTGAACCTTAGTGCGTTCCTATGAAAACCACCGGCAAGTACCACCCCCAACTACCCTGCACATGGTAATGTGCGGCGAGAGACACCAGCAGAAGGGGGCAAACGCCCCGGGCTGCTATACCCCCCCACGTCCCCTTTATACGGCTACGTGCGGAGAATACCTACGATTGGAGCGGCATTCGCTTCCGGGCAGCGACACACTACACTCGAGAAGAAATAGGACAAGAAGAAAAAATACTCTCTTCAGACGGTACCGGAGGCTTCAGAATACTAATCCCTGTGTTTCACTCCAGCCTGAACCAACGCCCCTACAGTCCACGCTCACTGTACGGCAGTCCATACAGTACATCGTGGTCCTTCGAGAAGCCGGATTGCTGGAGGAACACCGTTGGTACATCGAGAAGCCGGATCGCTGGAGGAAGACCATTCTGAAGCCGGATCGCTGAAATGCCGACTACGAGAAACATGAAGTCGTCGCAACAAAAAATCGCCGTCACCGAAGCCACAACGTCCGCCGCCACCACGTCGACTACGACCGCCGGAACGCTGTCCGTCGCTGCCACGCCGTCCGTTGCTGCCACCACGTCGTCTGCGGCTGTCAGAACGTCATCTGTCGCTGCCACGTCGTCTACCGCCGCCACCACATCGACTACGAACACGTCCGGCGATACGACGACCACAGGAGCCACGGAGACTACCGAAGCCACAGGAACGACAGAGGAGACAGCAAGGAAAAAGGAACCGAAGCACGGCACGGCACGCACGGTTCGCACCACGGCCTCGCAGAAGAAGAAGGCTCTGGCCAAGGCACGGGAGGAGCTACTTCGAAAGGAGGTGGAATTGGCCGCCGCACGTGTCGCCGCCCTGGAAGCCGAATCAGAGAACGACGAGGAAATAGAAGACGACGACGCTACCGTCAGAAGAGAACGAACGTCGGATTGGGTTCATCGAAGCACGCTGGCACTCACGATGGAGCCGCATGTACCAGAGATAGAAGAAGTCACCGGCAAGCGTCAGGGGTTCGTCCCATCGAGACCCGTTGAAGAGGATTCGAGAGCGCCGCCGCCACAGCCGAGCAGCGACGCACTTCACCGGGACCACGCACGCCACGTTGACCCACATGCCGCCATGCCTACGATAGCAGCAGCGATGCAGTCGATGAAGAAGGAAGAACCGGTGCTGAAGGTGGGCATCGATTGTAATGAGTTTGCGATCGCCATGCAGATGGCCGCTCGCAACATACTGCCCTCCACAGCGTCAAGAGTCACCGAGTTGCCAGTCTTCAATGGATCGTCGAGCGAGTGGTTACCATGGAAGATGGCCTATGAAGAGAGCGCAAGTCAACTCACAGAACAAGAGAACCTAGCAAGACTGCGCAGAAGTTTGAAGGGGGCCGCAAAGGACGCGGCACGCTCCCTATTCGTCGGGTCTACGACCGCAGAAGAAGTAATGAAGATGTTAGCCGCGAGGTTCGGCCGCCCTGGAGCACTCGTCACAGCCGAACTGAACAAACTCCGCGCGCTACCACGACTCTCGGACAACGCAAGAGACGTCTGCCTCTTCGCAAGCAAGGTGCAGAACGTCGTCGCCACGATACGAGCGCTGAACAAGAGTCACTACCTCTACAACGAAGAAATAGTGAGAAACGTCACAGAGAAGATGCCGTCGGTACTACGCTTCAAGTACTACGATTTCGCCAACGACCAACCGGAGGGACAACCGGACCTCATAACACTCTCTCAGTTCCTACAAAGGACCGCCGCACGATGTGGAAACTTCGCCCCCGCCGAGGAGATACCGTCCGAAGACCGGCGGGAGCCCGCTCCTAGGAAGACGGCGAAGACATACACGACGCAGGAGAAACCCGCTACACCACCGTGCCCGATGTGTCGACGAGAGGGACACGCTCCATCGGACTGCAAGACGATGAAGGAAGCGGACACATCGGCGAGATGGGAGCTAGCGAAGACTCATAGGCTGTGTTTCCGTTGCCTCAAAGTGAGAAGATTTCGCCACGCCTGCAAGAGCAAGAGATGTGGAGTAGATGAGTGCACGCAGACTCATCACCCTCTGCTGCACGCCACGCGACAACAGCCGGAGAATGAAGTAACAACGCACGTCGTCGAGGACAAGTCCGCCGCAGTCACCGCATCGGCAAGGGAAAACGACAAGATCGCGTTCCTGAAGATCCTGCCGATACGAGTCACCGGTCCCACGGGAACGTGCGACACCTACGCGCTACTGGACGACGGGTCGACTTGCACCATCATCGAGACGACGGTGGCGGAGCGAATCGGTGCTACGGGTCCCCCCGCACCATTCTACATGGAAGGTGTGGCCGGGGCACGGATCAACGCAGCTCAATCGACGCGTGTTCACTTCAAGATCCGCGGGCGGAACTCACAAGAATACACAGTGGGGGCACGGACGATGGACAGACTGCAGTTATCACCGCAGTCGGTACCGCGCAGCGTCATCAAGGACTGTCCACATCTGCGGGACATAGAGAGGGAGTTGGTCTATGAAGAGGGCAAACCGACGGTGCTGCTGGGGCAAGACAACTGGCACCTACTGCTGGCCCACGAAGTCAGAAGAGGATCCGACACGCAGCCGGTCGCATCACTCACCGACCTGGGATGGGTACTGCACGGTACGAGTCGCGGCAGGACAAGACAGCAGGTGCACAGAATCAGCCACATAGTGACGACACATGAAGAGGAACAATCGATGGAAGAAATGATGAAGCAACATTTCGCGCTCGAATCGCTGGGAATCGCACCGAAGAGGTCTTACAATGAAGAGGAACGTCGCGCCCTGCGCATTTTAGAAGAGAAAACTCGTCCGTTACCGGCGGGAGGATACGAGACGGGGTTATTATGGAAGAAGGACGACCCTGTGCCGCCGGACAACTACGAATCGGCAATGCGACGTCTCCAACTGGTCGAAAGGAAACTCGACAAAAACGAAGAACAGTGGCCGCGTGAAGATAGTTCAAGCGATGGCAGTCAAGCGGAAACGGGAGAAGAACGCGTACACAAGCTACAGAACGCGACGCAGTTGTCTATAGCATTACCCGATCCGTCACGTTTTTCTAATTGGTTAAAACTTGTTCGCAGTTCAGCACGGGTGTTGCAGTTCATCGACCTCCTGCGACCGACTAGTCAATGCTGCACCGCCATCCGAAAGAGAAACAAGAAGAAAGAGAGCGCCGACCCCACTTGGACCCGCACGAAGAAAGTCGATAGAGAGAAGACGAAGATGAAAATCAAGAACAGCAATAGTCCATCTGTGTGTTTCATCCCCATAGACACACACTACCTAGATCGCGCGCGACAGCTATGGATTCGCGCGATGCAACAAGAGGCGTTCGGCGACGAAATCGCAGTATTGAAACAAGGAAAACAGCTGCCGTCATCCAGTCGACTCATACAGCTGTCAGTCGTCATAGATAACGACGACATTCTGCGACTTCGATCGAGGATAGCAGCCGCCGCCGATTTATCAGCCGAGCAACGAGAGCCCCCCATCGTCGACGGAAACCACGCCTGGGTGCGCCTATACATCGCATGGGTGCATCGAAAACTTCACCACGGCGGCTTCGAGATCACCACGAACGAGGTGCGACAACACTTGTGGGTGTTGCGCCTACGACACGCCGTCCGCAGTGAACTGAAGAGGTGTCAGCTGTGCCGCCTACGAAGAGCAAGACCGGCGCAGCCATCAACAGGCAACCATCCACAGAGCAGGCTGGCGCATCATCAGCGACCGTTCACGTTCACCGGCCTAGACTACTTCGGGCCTATGACCGTGACAGTGGGCCGCACTCACCAGAAGCGGTACGGAGTGCTCTTCACCTGCCTAACGACGCGCGCAGTCCACCTAGAAATCGCCGGCAGCCTCAGCACGGACTCCGCCATAATGGCCCTGCGGCGCTTCATAAGCCGCAGAGGGTGTCCCACTGAGTTATGGTCCGACCAAGGCACCAACCTCAAAGGTGCTGACGTCGAACTGAAGAAAGCAGCCGAGGAAGCCATCCAAGAAGAGTCATCAGTCCATTTCATCCGGTGGCGCTACATTCCCCCGAGCGCACCCTTCATGGGAGGTGCGTGGGAACGATTGGTGCGTAGCGTGAAGACCGCACTAACCGCTACGTTGAACGAGCGGGCCCCCAAGGAAGAGGTCCTCCACACTCTGCTGGTCGAGGTCGAGCACACCCTCAATAGTCGACCGCTAACCCACGTGTCAACATCGGCAGACGACGACAGCGCCCTAACCCCCAATCACTTCATATTGGGCGGTCCATCGCGCGTCCCACTGCCAGGCAGCTTCACAGAGAGCGACGCGGCGGGACACAAGGAGTGGCGTGCCAGCCAGAGGCTAGCTGACTGCTTCTGGAACCGGTGGGTGAAGGAGTACCTACCCGAGTTGCAACACCGGCGGGAGCCCCGAGCTACACACGGAGCCATCAAAATGGACGACCTGGTCCTAATAGCTGATGGGACCTTGCCTCGCAACACGTGGCCGCGAGGCGTGGTGGTGGCGACCTACCCTGGACCAGACGGCGAGATTCGAGCGGTCGACGTGCGGACGAACAAGGGCATCCTACGGCGACCCACTAAGAAGCTGATCATACTGCCCACATCGACATCGAGCGACGCGAACACGAGTTAACTCCAGCTACGAGAGCTGCGGCGGGAGATTATGTTCGCGACATTATTGTATATATAGTGATATTTATAACAATGTTATAGTTAGTTGTTAAGTTTCTAGTTTGATCGTTTTTTGTATTCTGTTGTTTTGTATAGATTTACATAGATTTAAGATAGTGTAAGTTAAATAAAGTATTCCTTTGTGTGTTGTCCTTATTACCTACGAATAGAAATAGAAATTGTTACGATAAATAGAATTAAGAGATTGTAAATTTCAATAAATAAATAGACGCTATAGAGTACCGATCTGAAGAGACACGCGTCTCGCTCATTTCTCGCCCCGTCCCGCTCGCGCAGATTCGCTAACGCGAGTTGGAAACGTTATCGTGCGAGCGGGCGGGTATAAAGATAGGCCGCCTCCCGTCGAGCGGCATTCGCTTCCGGGCAGCGACACACTACACTCGAGAAGAAATAGGACAAGAAGAAAAAATACTCTCTTCAGACGGTACCGGAGGCTTCAGAATACTAATCCCTGTGTTTCACTCCAGCCTGAACCAACGCCCCTACAGTCCACGCTCACTGTACGGCAGTCCATACAGTACAATATATATATTACGAATATTATTAATTAAAAAAAAATTAATTGCCATAAGATTATCATAATTCCATAGTTATTTCTAATTGAAATTTAATAAAATATAATATTGACCAGGAATATGTATTAGTTATTTATTTGTCAGAACAAGGTTTGTATGAAAGATAATGTCTAAAAAATCGTACGGAAAGTTAAAAAAAATGGGGTATACAATCTCTATATAAAAATGTGTGTGAGTGAGTTAGTGAGAGAGATAATAGACTCATTTTCTTCATAAGTATACCGTGCTAATCCGGGGCGGGCAGCTAGGGTCATGAAAGTGTGTATCTCATCTATATATGTACCATACTTGAATTAATAATTTACTAACTGGTATATCAATACACAATAAATTGCTGAAATTCTAAAAACCTGATTTTTTTATGCTACATCAAGTTGACGCCCAACTGATTTACCTGTTGGAAAACAATAACCATCGCCTAATCGCCTATAAATATAAATAACATTATAGAAATAATAGAAAATACTATGGCGTCTATGGCACCTGTCATCGGTTGCTTTTCCTGACTACTACAGTTTTTCGTCTCTATATCTTCTTATTTCGTTACCCTGCCATTCAAACCTAAATACAGGCATGCAAGAAAACTTGCTTAACAGCAATCTATCTACTTTTGAACTTTTAATAAATAATAAAATTCATCTATGATTCTTTTTATGTATACTTTACCGTTTACTGTATTTAAATATAATTTATTTGTATATGTATATTTTAAAGAGATAATTACATCAGTTAAAAATCTCTGTCGACCAGAAGGTCGGTTTATATTTCAATGTTTTTATATCGCTATTCAGAGAGGCAATCTTGCCAGCCTGCAGAGTACCCTACCAGCCGGCGGTGGCTCCAAGGGATTTTTTTTTTCTATACGAAATATTATTATTTTTTAATACCAAGTAAATAATTCAAGATTTTTAATTTGTAGTTGTAAATATCTATTATTACAACTTACCTATTAAATTTATTTTTTATTATTATATATTTATTGTAAAATTCTAGGATCATTCTTTAGTAAAAATTAACACATTTTTCCTCAAGTCAGTTACCACAATATATCATTAAATATTTATTATTATGTATATAAAAAATAATCATAAAACTACGAAAGGTAAAAATAAGATGAAAACAAGCGAATAAATATGTACTCAAATGTATATTTATTTTTACATTAATGGCATATTTTAGGTACATGCATCAACATATTTTAATTTTTCATTATTATACAGTTTCTTAAAATAATATCACGTTATTTTTTCTTAAACATTTAAGCAAACGACAAATGAATGTTACTTTTTATAATTAAAGTTGTACGTAAAATGAAATAATAAAAAACATATGGTATGATAATATATCTTTACGCATTGAATTTACCCATAAAATTAAAAGCGTTTGCTAATTTATCTTATTATGTTTTACAGAACATAATTACACACTCGAACTAAAGTATGTAAAAATAATTGAGTGCCCAAATACGGTAACTGGTAAAGGAAGACAATTATTACTACTTACTGGTACATCGGTAACACTAAATTATTCAACATTTTTGTTTCGCGATAAAATTAAATGTTTATATAGTAGTATAGGTAATATTTTACATAAATATAGCTACAACCTCCCTATCTATATCATTTGTACCTATATGAATCTTATTAACATCAAAGAAAGTTGTATTAATATTCTCAAATAGGTTTATAATAAAAATGCAAAAAAAACCATACAGAATACGCTATTTGAATTATTCTACAAACACAATTATGTCTTATCTAGATTGTTTGTAAATGAACTTTGTTATTTATAAATTAAAATTAAAACTATTTAATAAGCTATTATCGTTACAATAAAAATATAAAATATCTTTGAATTTAGCTTTACTAAATGAAGTAGAAACTAAATAGGTATTTATCTATACTATATGGAAGACTATACGATTTTGCTGTATAAGGCACACAGAATTCATCTATGTACTGTTTTAACTATTTCAATAGTATCAATGAAAATAATAATTAAAATAAATAAATAGGCACTATTACTAGTATGTACGAGTAAGTATTTAATAATCAATAATAAAATCTGTCAACTAAATTGTAAATTATTATAATAATGGTTCACTAAACAAACCTAAATAGGTACATGGCACTAAGTCCTAAAAGAATAATAGTAATGTAATACAACAACAACATATGGGGCTGTTTCCTTATTAGTTATTACATACATAAAATACTGCATCAGATGTCTTCCACAAATGTACACGTAGCAATCTACTTTCACTTATGATAATGTACTTAATTCTCTCATTCATAAAATCTAAAGTATCACTCAAAAACTGACCATATGTATATGAGTAACTTCAATAAAATCAACTAATATTTCATGTTTTCCTCTAGGTATATAAAATAATGTTATGCTAGGAACTTTAATATTTTCTCAACAACATACACTCTTGACATTATGTACAAAATTTAAATTATATCACAGAATCCAATTAATGGAATGGAGGAAGTGTCACCATGGCCGCCAAGGTTTGTCTTCTGACGGTGGTCTTCTAGTTACGAGAGCCAAAGGAGCACGCTGCGGGTCTTCAATTGTGGGAGGTGGTGAACCCCACCCTGAACTAGCTGGGGAAAAGCATCTGGGCTCTGATGAAACTGATGATGATGAGGCGTCTCTAGGTGATAATGGCACTAATGTTGGAACAGCTCCTAGAGTACTAGCGCTAACACCAGCAGGTAGGACAAGGGCGATGTCCCCATTTGCCAATCTCGTGGGTACCACCCGAACGCCTGATCCAGGACCAGCTGCAAACGAACATACTATTTAATATTTTGTTGGTACGTCTATCAAAGTTTGTAAAAAAACAGTAATAATAAATTAAAATAATAAAATGTTTATAATAATAACAAATAATGAACGAATGATGTCCATTAATTTGTTATAGGTGTATTTTTTTATGTTATTATTAATATACGTATATACATAACCCGCATTTCATCCTGTGGGCCGTGGCCCATAGATATGCACAACACCATGGACGACACATAATACTGTGTGATGCCGTGGTAGCCCCATATATATTGTCAATTCTGAGGACTATGGTTTTATACCTCAGTACTCAGTACCGAATTACAACCATGTAGATAAAACCTGGATGGTCGCGTACAGCGCGGTTTCAGAGATGTTTCCTCCCACGAACGCTCAAGTCATGAAATGAGCTTCTCCTGTTGAAGTTTTTTCAAGAGACTACAGCATGGTGTTTTTCGAGAAAGGAGTAAAGAGATTTCTTCAGGATTTGCAACGCGCGCGTAATGCTCCTGGTATTGTAAACGTTCATAGACTATGGTAACCGTTTACCCTCAGGCAGAAAGCATACTCGTTTAAAAGTGTAGGTAGTCGCTTCACGACAGAAACACGAATTAGGTAATTAGAGAATAAGTTAAATAATATTTACCGGAAATAAAAATTGTAGAATGAGTAGAAGCAGTAACGTCTTCGGGATCTGAAGGTGGTGTCGGTGCTCTCACAGATTTTGAGCTAGAGGCACAAGTCTCAAGATGTTTTACTAGGCGTTTCCTTAGCCCAGTATCCAAGCCTGGAAACTTGGCTACTTCGGATACACAGTGCCTGTATCCCGCCCGAAACCGATCTGGCGATCCTGCACCTTCAGAGCGCAGCCCTTCCAAGTGCTTCACTGTCATTTCTAAGATGTCAGCTTTCTCTAACTTTGAATGTCGGGCCGGCTGTAAAAATACACAATATATATATATATATATATATATATATATATATATATATATATATATATATATATATATATATATATATATATATATATATATATATATATATATATCTCTTATCTATGTCTATAGTATAATACAGAACTTTTTCTGAATTAAAAAAAAAAGACATATTGTATAAACTGTAAACCCAACAATTATAGGAACTCAACAAATAAAAAAATTATATCTTTATAATCATCTTATTTTTAATAATTTATCATCCATCACTAGCCAGATATCTCCTTTAAAGATCACATTCCTGACATTTAGTAATTTTTAACACCTAACCTAATTTATCTTTCAAATAATTTAAAACCCTTTTGTCATAATTACTTCCTATTTATTTTTTACTTTAATAATATTTGACTCGGTTTTATCTCAATACAAACACAGTAATATTACTTTTAGGTGTAAATATATATGAATGTATATATATATATATATATATATATAATGTATATATATATATATATATATATACTACTTACATCTTTTTTCATGGCATCCAAGATGAGAGCTTTCAACTCGTTGAGACAGTTGTTGATGCGCGCGCGCCTTCGTTTCTCCATAATGGGCTTATTACTCTGCAACAATAAATGATTAGATGAAGTATCGTGTGGGAGCAGTCTGCTTCAACTCAACAATTGGTCGATTGGTATTATGATTCTCTTTTTTTTAAACGACTACAAAAAGGAAGTCACACTTCATTCTATAGATCGATATATTGTACATTTAGTTATAAGAGTGGAGTGCAATTTGAACCCGTTGGTAGGCAGATTGCTCATGTCATCGCGTTAGTTTTTAATCAAAGATTTTGTAATTCCTTGTTCTTAGTTTTTAAACAATTTACACATGTTTTTCATTAAAGTTGCTAGTGACAAAGTCCTGTTTTTTTTTAAAATGAAAGTACTACAATCTGTCACGAAAGATTAAAATCGTTAGAACGTTGGTCTCAGGTACAATGAGGACACGTGTCAACAGCATCACTTTGTAATCTGTGATATCTATATATTTATATTTTAAACCACAACCAATTTTCAGTTCTAATTCTCAGAAGAATAAAAAATTCAATAGCCCTAATCTATTTGAAAAGCTTGAACATTACGTTGCCTTGTCTAAAGTATTAGATAATATTTATGGCTACCAAGAAAAGAGATGGCAAAAATGTGTAATAATCTCTCGTTACATGACGACGGTGATGGCGCGTGGTGTGCGACAACTTCCAAGGTGAAGGTCACTGGTAGTCGTGATTGGCGCGGACGTAAGCCGTGACGGCGCGTCACGCGTACTCTAACCACGTGACGTGGCCAGGGCTGCCTCTTTATAACTATGTTTGCTGAGTTTTTATTTTTGATTAGCTTTTGCCCACTTCCTACGCGTAGGTTTTTGAAGTAGGTACCCACTTCTTTGATTGGTCAGGTTTAAAAAATAAAATGTATGCACTGTCACATAATCATAGTAGATTCTTAGAGTATATTATTCCTGTAGGTAATATAAGAAAAATAAGTATCGACCTATGAAAATATAAAAAATTGCATTAAAAAGATTGGTGAAATCTAACTGCTAAAAGTTTCATTAGTTGGAAAAAACAAAAAAAAACATTTGAATGGTTTTTGTTCATAAAAAAGGTCTCGCGATTGACATCAATCTCACTTGATATAAAGTGACGATGAGGTCTAAAATGGAGATCGCAAGCTCACAAATGGCTATTCACTTTTACCTGTCACGTTATGAACATTTGACTTTCTTAAATCGAAAATCTATGTTTACATTGTAGCGATGACGGCTGTAAGAAAATGTGAGTAACGAGACGTTTTTTCGATTACATATCAATTTTATTTGTAACGTATAAATACTAGAAACTAAAACTGTCCCAGACGGAGACGACCCATCAACGTGACGGCTTACGTAACGTTTGGCGAGTGACGGAGCGGCGCGGCGGCGAGCACGGGCACGGGACAGAATGGATATAGAATCGCTGTCGCCGTGGCTACCGTAACGCGAGGCGCCGCGCGGCGGACGTCGCGGTCACCGTCTATAGTGAACACGTGCCGCGTAGGCGCGAGCCAACACCACGCGCCACTTTTCCGACGGAAATAAATCGCATATTGACATTATTTGTCTTGTCATTCTCTCGGAAAAGTAATGTAATTTTATACATTTTTCTAAACTGACTAGAAAAGGCGCATTATTGATAACAAAAACTGCTAGCAATATATCCTATTAGGTGGATATCCCCGTGGAAAGTATGTGATTAAACCCTAGTGGATTAATGGCGATATGCCGTCTGACCTGACTTCATCTTCATCTATATATCTATATACTACTCACTAATACTCCGCCAATATAAACCGATAACGCTCGCGGAGTTATTATTTCACAAAAAAGGCGATATTTAAAAACAAATGTGGAATTGTCCATGCAGCTTCCGCTGCAATTGAGAATTCCTATTCCTAGCCTAGCCCTTTGGTCAATATGGTTATTATTGGTAGTTTAATATTCTCATGGGAAGAGATTAAGACTTAAATCACCAGCAAGATGTTGCAATAAAATAGAATAGAATAGAATAGAATAGAAAATCATTTATTCAAATAAACTTACATTGAAGCACTTTTGAAAAGTCATTACATTTTTTTTAATTTACCGCTCGTTCGGAAAGCTGTCTCATCACAAGAAGAACGAGCAAGAAACTTGCGTGATGCTCTTTTAAATAAGTTTATTATTATTTTACATTTTTAAGTTTAATTGTGTGAATACAAACCACCAATTAGCACTAATTCAATTAAATACTCAAAAAGAAAAAAAAAATTGAATACATAACCAACTGGTTAAACAATTAATAAGAGGAAATCAGTCATAGTGATTAGAGCAGACCAGTCCCTACAAGCAGCACCCGTTCACGAGTATGACGGATGAGCCAGCCATCACTGCGCTCGACCATATTTTAGGGAGCCCAATGACCCGGCCCACCACGCCGCCACAAGTCTGGACATTTTAGTGAGCATGACTACTCAAAACACTAGACCACGTCAAAGCTACTCACAATTGCCATCTGATAGTTATAGTATTCACATTTTACATAAGAATGCATGCGGCAATTAATACAAAAAACCGCTACGCTTTCATATTTCTAAAATTAATCAATTAAATCAAGAAAGCAATGAGAAAATAAAATTATAACGTTGTATGCTAATAAACTAATTATTTACTTGATATGTTGTCATCTATGAATTCGTCTATCCTGTAATAGGCTTTCTTACATAAAAATTGTTTAATATAAGATTTGAATTGCCTCTCTGTCAGATTTAATGCAGATTCCGGCAGTTTATTATAAAATCTTATGCAATTACCATAGAATGAATTACTGATTTTGTGCAGACGGCATTTAGGTAAAATAAGCTTATTTATATTGCGTAAGTTTCTACTTGTACAGTCTTTGAGTTTTTTAAAACTCGCTAAGTTCTTCCGTGTATACATAATATTTTCATAAATGTATTGTGAAGTAACTGTGAGGATATTTGAGTCTTTAAAGCACTGACGTAATGACTCTCTTGAACCCATACCATAAATAGAACGTATGGCTCTCTTTTGTAAAACAAATATAGTATTTATATCGGCAACCCCACAGCAGTATGCCATAAGACATTATGCTATGGAAATAACTAAAATATACAAGTTTAGCCGTCGCCACATCTGTTAATTGCCTAATTCTTCTAATTGCATATGCAGCAGAACTGAGTCTACTGGCCAATTTTGAAATATGGGGCCCCCATTGTAATTTCGAGTCCACTGTTATACCTAAAAAAACTGTATCATTAACAAAATTTACTATTTCGTCATTAAGCAATAACTGTGTATTTATTAGTCTTACATTAGGAAGTGTAAATTTTATACACTTTGTTTTGCTGGAATTTAATAATAGGTTATTACATGTAAACCAATTTAATATTGCAGACATAGCACAATTTACATCGTCTAATTGATTACTTTGACGTCCAATTTTAAACACTAACGAAGTATCATCCGCAAACAGCACTATATCTGCAATTTTCTCTACCATAAAGGGAAGGTCATTTATGTAGATTAAAAAGAGAAAGGGGCCTAAGATTGACCCTTGTGGAACGCCCATCTTAATATTATTATTATTAATCATATCAATCATATAAATCAAAACTGAATTTCAGTAAACAACTTTTTTACCTAAGTCCTTTGATCATTTATTTAATACCTTTTGCATTGTGAAGATTGTTTACGTTTTGCTTACTTCAGATTACGCAACAGAAATCAAATATTTTCCTTTATTATTGTCAATGTATTCAATCTCCATCCATCACAAAGGTTATTGTTTGCTAATTTGAGTACAACGATGTTAATATGCAAATAAATGATTGCGTAGTAACACCACGCGACCACGCGCACAAACAACGTGATTTGTTGACAATACTCATACGAGTACATCCGTATATAGAATAATGACTAACAGTCCGTCAGTAATCAGACGGTAGCTTCATATGCCATATTATTTAATGACTGATATTACTTAGTCCATACCTATTGTAATGTCTGTATATCTAGTATCTAATCTGTATGCGACGGTTACCAATATTATCACTTTCTACCATGCCCCAGTTGACCATTCCAAGTCAGTAAATTGTAGTTAAACATTGATTTTGAATTGATGTTTGTCACTTTGTTTATTATCTTATCAAGTGAAAAAAGCTAAATGAATTTCAACAAAATTGTTTTAATTGTGCTTAACTCACTTAAGTAACATATGTTTAATCAGAACCTAATTCCATAAATACAGCTTTATATTATAAAGCTATAGGTATTGAACGTGGAGATCTTATATCAGATAACGTTAGCATCAAATAGGTACAATAAGAACAAATAACTATGTTTACCTACGAGCAACGCAAAACATTAAATACGTTGCACGAATGCAGTTCGCAAACTTCCCAAAATATCCAATGGAATGTACCTACTCACTAGGTTGACGATAAAGTGCAATAGTTGGTGGCGCATAATGTGTAAGTACGTTGACAAATGTTTGATGTTCGTTGGCACTTGCACAATCGCACAAAGCAAGAAGTAAGATGACAGTATAAAACAATCGAATTACCTCACTAAAAATATTTATCGACTCTATATATGAAAGTACAAGTTATAGGCCGTTTTATGCATACCTAGATATCAGAAAATGCTAACGAACAAGTGTCACCTAAGGCACATGTCTAGATAGGAATTAACATTTCACAAAACTAAAAATGCTCTAGTATACATTTTGACACATAATTTGCAAGTTAGAACAGAACATTTGCCCTCATGTATTAAAAGTTACCAATCCACTATTCCTTAAGCCAGCATAGGTAAGAAAATGGACAATATAATTTAGAGAAAGTGGAGAGAAGGAAGTGAATCTCTTTAAATATATGCAAACAGGTTGTATGAATAGAATATTTCCTATCCTATAACACGTAAGTACCTCAGAATTAATAGGTTAATAGATGTTTACTATAAGTTGAGCTTCTGTTTTCAATAGTTTGATGATAACAATTGGCACGGATGGCGTGCGCGGTGCGGG